ACACACACACACACACACACACACACACACTTGAACCTTTTACTTACATCTTAATGCTATGCTTCCCATAACACTTGCCTAAGTATTTAATAACGTGAGAGCAGTTGAACACAGACACGCAAGGAAATTATATGGATTCTAAATTTTTTTGTCCAGGAAGCATTTCATATACAATATATTGTGTGGAAGTTAACTAAAACCTTTTATCAATGCAGGCATTAAAAAAAATTCAGTTGCATAAAAAATCATTTCTAGGAATAAATTTTCACTGAAATTAGCATTTATTTTTAAAAGTTATAAATTCTAAGCCCTTTATACATCCCTATTTTACTAAATTTTAATGCAGTTTTCCTTACATATAGAAGTATAAAACACAAAGACTAGCATTCTGAACTCTTCATGTCTATATGGTACAATACAGCTGAGAAAAGTTCTGAGTCTTACATAGTAGCTTTAAAATGTTTAAAATATAGGAAAACATTAGTTACAATACCACTAATCAAAATGATGTCATCAATTAATTAAAAGATAATCAATGATCCCCATCTATGTGTGGTCTGAGTACTACAGGAAACAGTAACAGTTCTTATACTTTGAAACAGGTTACCTGATTGAAAAAAAAGGAAAGTTGTTTTTATTAAGAAAATTATGTTAAGGTGAAGTCACTTTAAGTATAGCACAAAAACATGCCACCAACTTGGGATTTGTGCCTCAAAAAATTTTTATTCACACACACACACACACACACACACACACAGGCTTAAAATGTTCGGCGGTGGTTGACGGTGAAACAGTCAAATTTAAAACTTTTACAGTATTAGCTAGAACACCAACCCAACTAACCCAGGGACTAGGGAAGTTTTATTAATTAAACACCTAAAATCAGACCCATTAAATAGATAAAAGTGACTTCACTTCCTCACATTCTGCGCAAAACCGAAAACTCCGTCACATCTTTCAGATTTAGGATATACACAACCTCTCATGCAAAATCATAACGTGAATGGGTAGAGGAATTTTAAAAAATCACTCGCCAAACAACTTTCTCAATTTACCCTACTTTCTGGCCTACCTCACGTCTACTACTCCGAAAACCAGAAGAGTTAGAGCCCTGGGTGAAAGTCACTCCAAGACTTATAACACCCATGCTTTGATGTGAAATTGCAACTTAAAAACACCTCCAATCAACTCTTTATCAAATGCAAACGATACCGTTGGGGGCCAGGCTAAACGGCGGGGTAGGTAACTCTTGATCCTCTACAGTGCGGAGCTGACCGGGTCCGAGCCCACCGGGACCGAGCCTCGTCGGGGGCTCACGGGGTGAGGAGCAAAGTTCCGAGGCGAGCGTCGACACGTGGAAAGCGCTCTCACCTGGAGTTTTTAAGGCCCTCCCCACCCCAGGCCTCTAAGCCGGTCTGAGCAGGAGGGAGAGGGAGAGAAGACTGGAGAGAACCACGAAGTGGCGGCTGTTTCCTGGTGAGCATCCATCTTTCGTGATGTCGTAGCCCCAAGAGCCAAGGAGTAAGCGGCGCCCGTCCGGCGGCGCGGCCGACCTCAACCCTCCCTCGGCCCCTCCGGGATCCACACACCCAGGGGCCCACGGAAAAGTCCCCTCCTAGCTCCCGCGGTTCCGGCTCCTCCAGGC